TACAAAATTGCACAGAATGCGCACCGCGTAAAAGAAACATCGAATATCCAGTACTCCTCGCGGTATCTCGCAGGAAAACTCATTTTCATTTTAATCCTGTCTTTCTAATTCTCTCCTCGGCGTGTTCGCCAATCTTCATAGTTAATATTCAGTTAAACGCAACGGATCTTCGTGAAATCCAGAATGGAACTCCAGAAAATCTCAGCTTTCTACACCTAAGACGATATTTTACAATTTCAAATACAAGTGATTTAATACAGATTTCATCCGTCGACGAATACCAATGCAATTACTAGTAAATATTAGTAACAACTAATTATTCCTCATACAATTCTTAATAGTTGACCCTAGAACTCTAGAAAACAGTCTCAGCTTCCTATATCTAACACAATATTTTACAATTTCAAATACAAGTAATTTAATAAAGATTTTATTCATCGACGAATACCAATGCAATTGCTAGTAAAGAATATTAGTAACTAATTATTCCTCATACAGTTCTTAACAGTTGACCCTAGAACTCCAGAAAGCAATCTCAGCTTTCTACACCTAACACAATATTTTACAATTTCAAATACAAGCAATTTTTTAGTGCAATATTGAAGTCTACAGAGTTCAAAGGATTATTTGATCGAAAACAATGAAACTACAATGAATCAGTAAAAACAAATATGAAACGAAACGTCGACGTTCCTCCGCAAAGGGTTACATCTACGTAAACATCCGCAGAAATCTAGTCGCAAGCGATTCGATTCGCGCAATTGACAGGAAGTCTACAGAGTTCAAAGGGTTAAATGATCGAAAGCAATGAATCAGTGAAAACAAATATGCAACGAAACGTCGACGTTGCGAAGGGTTAGATTTCCGTAAACATCCGCAGAATCTAGCGAATCCGATTCGCGCAATTGACAGGAAGTCTACAGAGTTCAAAGGGTTAAATGATCGAAAGCAATGAATCAGTAAAAACAAATATGCAACGAAACGTCGACGTAGCGAAGGGTTAGATTTCCGTAAACATCCGCAGAATCTAGCGAATCCGATTCGCGCAATTGACAGGAAAGCCGGCTTGATGGACGCGATAGCCGCGCGCTTTCCGATCGCTGTCTATTCTCGGTTTATTCTTGGTCCGGCGGGGCGACCGACAACGCAGAAACGAGAGCTAATGCGAATTTACGCGCGGCGTGGGTGAGCCGCGAACGAACGACTTATATTTAGCGAGCCGTACGTTAACGTCAGGTATATATCGCTTTATTGCAACGCCGCGGCGCACAGTTGCCTGCGAACGTAACCCCGAAATTCGACTATTCGCATCACGAAAATTGAAGGTTACCGATGCGTGACTAAGTAGTTCCTATACGAAACGATTTACATTTGAAAAATAACGATCTCGTGCGAATCAATGCCGTTTCTCTGTTTCTATTAGCAAAACGTTAACGTTTCTCTGTTGCATCGTTGAGAAGTGGCAGTATCGGTTCGTAGAATCACATGGAGCTTATTTATTTCTTTTCCTTGTAATTATTTATTCTTAGTTTTCTTATTGCCTGCCTGAAACTGGAAGAATGTAACAATCGCGTTATTTAACATTTGTTTTTGTAGAAATACGAAAAAAGCGCGATCGCACGGTTTGCCGTTTGTCGACCGGTTTTCGCGAAAACCGTAGAACTCGAACGATTAATCACAAAAAGGTGCGAGTTTGAACTTAAGTTCAAGTAGAAGGTACTCGCCGACAGCTCGTGAAGTTATAAAAATTGTATATTTAACGTTATTTCGTACGGTAGACAAAGAAACTGCAGGAACTTATAGAAATACCTAATGTAACGTTGGAATCGAAGCGCAAAGTACCCATTGTTATTGAAAAACTTCTATAATACCTCCGTAACGCGAACAACAATTTAACCAGCACGTGCTCACCATTGTACTTTACAACTTTCGTCTGAAACATTCGTTCGTATCACTCGTACTTTTCGAGTTATCGAGTTTTGACCAGCAAACGGCGAAATGGCCGCCATTGTGCGGCCGTTGCTCGCTGCTGCTCTCGTTCACCCCGGTCACGCTTTCTCCGGCCGGTCCGGGACAGAACTCTGCTTTTCCATTTATACAATCCGCGGCAATTATATTTCAGTGCGTCGTGAAAGCGATTCTTGTGGCTCGTATCGAACGATCGCTTCTCTGCGCCCGTATCGGCGTCCGTGCGGATGGAAATTCGTGGAATTCACGCTGCACTCGGGAACACGTCGATTCGACGGATATTGAATTTTGTGAACATTGCTTAGTTAATTGTCGATATTTATTGACATAACAAGGCAACTGTTGTTTCAATCGTGCAGCTTTGAATCCCTAGCTTCTACGATGAAACGAACGTCGAAATTTCGAAGACCAATAGGATGCTTGTAAACCTAGTATCAACCGTTTATGACGAACATTCTTTAATTTCGAGAAATGTTTATTAAGTTTCTGGATTCAGAGTATCGCGAGAGGAAGCAGGGAGGTTTCTGAAAAGTTGAAACTAGATTTCGTGGACTTCGTAGTTTAAGCAGTTAAATTGACTTTCCAAAATTCTTCCATAGCAACTTCAAGAGTGCATCTATCGAGACTTTGATTCACAATTCAGTTTGCGTATTGCTAAGTCAATTTCTCGAATAATTTTTCAGAGAAATATCTGTTATCTTTTTAATAATTGCAACAAGAATAAATCGGGAATGCGTCGTTTCGACTCATCTGGTAGGTTTAGTGTAAATTAATATAAAAATAGGAAGCTACGTGCTGATCCCTTGCTGTTTCAGTAATTAGATCATTCGTCCGCAAAATTTTAACCCTTTACAGTCAGGATTTTTTGAAACTTGAGAACTCGTCCACGAAAATGTTGAGTTATGTATCAGAGTCTTAAACATTAGAAAAAAAACCACGTATCTCGTTATTTGAGCAATTAAATTATTCATTTGCTGCTTTCGAATTTAGATATGAAAGCTCGGAGTCGCCATTACGGCGGCATTCGTCCGCGAAGGGTTAATACGCCTGCGAGCTGCCGTCAGGAATCGAAGTTTCGTCGACGAGCATCGTTCCTACCGATACGAGGTCCGTGTTATCGCCGAGAGCAGACAGACGAGAGAACAAGAGAGTATTTAAGCTTTTGTTCTTAACGTCGGCTGATGCGTACAAGATTATTCGACCGTGGAGCCAATGATACGCGGAGCATCAAGGACGGATCGTTCCTTTCCTGCAACCACGGTTCCCCCTGCTACTTATCCCGTCCGTCTGTCCGTCTGTACGCTCGTCCTTGCCTCGCTCCTCGCCTCCGTGCGATTATATTTTAGGTAATCTAACCCAGTGGTGCTTAACCCTTTCTTGCTCGCGGCTCGGTTGAAGATAAAAAGAAGAAGATAAAAGAAAACTCAAGGAAAAGACCTAAAGAAAATTTAATGAAATACCAGCAGGTGTGGTTTCTCGATTTTTATTATTAATCGCGAACAATATATCTTCAAGCCTTATTAGTAACCCTATGGGACGTATGCTTATTAAATATAATGAAGATGAAGAATCTTGGGATTTTCTGGAGAATTCTTTGGTCCATATCTGAGAGGAATGATAAATGTTATATTTATTTATATATGTTCATATAATTTATATTTAGGTGAACGTTTCCATATACAAAGGAAATTTTATGAAATATCTGCAGATGTGATTTTTCAATTTTTATTACTAATCGTGTTGAATATATCTTCAAGCCTTATTAGTAACCCTATGGGACTTATGCTTATTAAATATAATAACGATAAACAAACGTGTGATTTTCTGAAGAATTCTTTAGTCCAATTTCTGAGAGAAATGATAAATATGTTATATTGATTTATACATATGCTTCGAAGATAAGAAACGACCCAATTTCGGGTCGCGACCGGTAGCTTAGGAACCACTGATCTAACCTGACGACGGTGACCCTGGGGAGCAACGTGTTCTAAGCACGGGTTCAGGGATCAGGCATCGGTTCGAACGCGGCGAGTCAATTTCTGGCTGGCTAATTTTAAACCGTCCCGGACAGTGAACGTCGTTTGTTTGTCATTGTTGGGAGGGTGCATTTATGGGGCCGTGGCACTCTGTGAAGGCGAATTGAAGGATGAGAGTTTCTGTCGTTCGTCAATTATTAAACCTTTGCACTCCACAGGCGCCTATAAGTCATCAAATGATTTTACACAGCAAAACTGTACACTTTGATATTTAACCCTTTGCACTCTCATCACTTGATTTCATACAGTAAAACTATAAAATTTGATATTTAATATTATATAATATTAAATATTATTATATTATAATATATAATTATATAATATTATAATTTCCTATAATGCATCATTTTGAGATGATGCGTATTTCTCGTCGACTTAGTTTCACAAAATATCGATTTTATCTCATCAAAAAATGTTAAAATATTTCTAGTAAAAAACTTCCGAGTGCAAAGGGTTAATATTAAGTTATAAAATATTAGATGATAGATTCTTTTTAGTAGAAATAGAAACAAAGGGAAGGATGAAAATTGAGAAATCAATTAATTGGACAATATGGGAATTGATATAAATTCAGTGAACAAAAGAAAACGTTGAATTTGAAATCCTGTCATTTGATTGGTTCGCAGTTAGTGTTAAATTCGTTTAATTAACTTGAAAGCGTTTGCGTTGTGTTTAGTAATTAATTTACAATTCTTTGTGCAACAAAGAACTGGGAAGATAAAGTTATAAATAAATAAAGAAGGGAACCGTTAAGAAAAATTGTTCACCGACACTGAGGAATTTACTCAAAATATGAATTGAATGAAAAGATGGTTAAAATGATATTGATATATCTGTAATTTTCATGAATTAATTTTATTCATTTATAATATACTCGTGTTTAAATCCGTTAATCGAATGGCTAACGGAACGTTGAATTCAAAAATTTGATTTCGAAAAGATCGAATCGATATTAGTCGATTGTCGAGCGTCGTCGAGCTATCGAGATATCGAAGATCGAAACGGTGAAAGCATGTAATGGCGGACGGTGGACGCCAGTAACAGCTGTTCTGGTGTCTAATAGTTGCTCCGACGCGAGTTGTGCCGTCTCGTTTTAATCCCGGACTATATAATTCGTCCCGCGGGCTCGAGAAATATAGGTTAGAATATTTTACGTTCCGATATATTGATAGTTAGTACGAGTAACGTACTAAGAAATCTCGCTGCACCTCGACGACTTTTCTACCGTGTATGTTCGTGCTGATAGTTTCGGCCTATAAAGCTGATGGACTAAAAGATTTGTTGATCTTTTAGAGAACACGTAAAGATGTCTAACAGCAACGCTAACAAAGGACCGATTCCGCCTCGATGGCTTCATTGTCCAAGGAAAGCGATCCGTTTAATTCAAAACAAGTTTCTGGCCTTTAAAACACCGCTGTCATCCGCATTTGACAGCCAAGTACCAGAAGAATGTCGTTTCACAGTGGACATGCTCTTCGCCTCTTTGAAGAGCCAGAAACTGAAAATGGGCCTATGGATCGATCTGACAAACACCACAAGGTTTTACGATAAGAAAGCCTTAGAAGAGTACGGCTGTAAATACTTGAAACTACAGTGCAGAGGCCACGGCGAAACTCCGTCTGAAGAACAGACGAAAACATTTGTGCAAGTCTGCAAGAATTTCATATTGTACAATCCATTGAAGATTATTGGTGTGCATTGTACGCACGGTTTCAACAGAACTGGCTTCCTTATCATAAGCTACTTAGTAGAGAACGACGGTACTAGTGTAGATGCTGGCCTGGTCGAATTCGCCACTGTGAGACCACCGGGTATCTATAAAGCAGATTATATTCAAGAATTATTCAGGAGATACGACGATATAGAGGATGCTCCAGATCCACCTCCTAGGCCAGCTTGGTGTTTGGAGTACGATGACTCGAACGTAGAAGATTCTGATGGAGGTCCTAGTACAGAAATTGATAAGTATAGTCAAGAACCTCCACAGAAAAAGAGACGCGAATTTCACAATAAAAATCCAGTATTCATGGCTGGTGTACCTGGTGTTACTCCAATATTAGAAGAAAGAAAATTAAGTAGAGTACAAAGACGTGTTCAAGAGATATGTTCATGGGGATCAACGGGCTTCCCAGGCTCCCAACCTGTTTCCATGGATGAGGATAATATTAGATTGTTACACGAAAAACCATATAGGGTATCTTGGAAGGCAGATGGAACCAGGTTAGATATACGTATAAAGTATACGTAATTGTAATGTGAGATATATGCATTTGAAGTATTCAGAATGTTCTTAACATTCATTGTCTGTATTCACCTAGGTACATGATGATGATACAAGGAAACGGAGAAATTTATTTTGTAGATAGAGACAATAGTGTGTTTCAAGTTAGCGGATTGTCTTTCCCACATCCCAGAGATGTGAACAGAAATCTTGAAGACACTTTGTTGGATGGTGTAAGTAGTATTTATTAGAGGATTTATAGATTGTTCATCCGTTTATCGCATTTCCCCTTTTCCTGTATGTAGGAAATGGTAATTGATAAGGCAGATGGTACAGATATCCCAAGATACTTAGTTTATGACGTAATTATGTATGATGGGGAAGATCAGAGTAAATTACCATTTCACCCTAACCGTTATTACATCATTGAGAAAAAGATTATGGGTGGCAGACACAAAGCACTCAGAGAAGGAAGACTTCGGAAAGAAAGGGAACCTTTCTCAGTACGATTGAAATTCTTTTGGGATGTTACACAGGCAGGTAGCCTATTAAGCGAAAAGTTTGCCAAACAACTGGGCCATGAACCTGATGGCTTGATATTCCAACCCTCCAAGGAACCGTATTGTCCAGGGATTTCTAGAGAAGTCTTGAAATGGAAACCTTTGTCACTGAACTCGGTGGATTTCAAATTGAAAATAGTTACTGAATCCGGGATAGGAATTGTATCGAAGAAGGTCGGACACCTCTATGTGGGTGGACTGAATGTGCCATTCAGTAAAATGAAAGTCACCAAAGAAATAAAGGACTTGAATAACGCAATTATAGAGTGTAAATTCGAAAACGGCCAATGGGTATTTATGCGTGAAAGAACGGACAAATCGTTCCCGAATTCTAAGAACACAGCCGAATCCGTATGTAAAAGCATTGGTAAACCTATCACGACCGAACGACTTATAAGCTACATCGACAGTCATAGATTTTTGCAAGACGATTCCGATCTTATGCCACCACCTAGTAAAAGGAGATGATCAGACCACTCCGGTTAATTAAGCGAAACTTCGTCAATATTATTATTTACTTAAGATTTAAAAATGCTATATTTATCATGACATTTAAAGCAGTTTACATGAATAAGATACTGTTACGTAGATCATTTTACTAATTTTAAATTGTTTTAATTGCCGCAGCGACGACGTACACACCTAAAACTGTTCAAACAATAAAGAAACCTCTGTAATAAGTCATGCGTAATTATTTTTCCGCTCCTTTCATTATCTAATAAGGCTATTCATTGTCTGCATTATTTACAAAGAATCTTACATTGCAATTTATTATTTATCTTTATTTCAGACAGGACCGTGTTACTTTGGAATACGAAAGAGCTTACAAAACGGGAAAAAAAATCTCTACGTGTGAATATTGAGTTTGATCATGCAACATTGATCCGCTGGTCTCCGGATGGTAAAGCTTTCATCATACACAAAGATGTTGCAAACACTATTGAGGTGTACAAGATCACTAAGAAGCCAGATGGAACATTAGCTTCAGCAGCGAAAACCCTGGAATTTCCAAAGGTATTTTCCAAATAAACTCAAGTTCCTTTTCGCTAACAATGTATTCACATTGTATTATGTATATTTTAGAAACATACTGATGATGTTATTGGTATGGACATTGCGTGCACAGGAAAATACATAATCACATGCAGCAAAGCAAATGATCTGATAATATGGGATCTGAAGGGTCAAATACTTGCAACAATAGAATTGTATCTGGGATCTATTTACAGAGCACGTGTATCACCTTGTGGACGTTTCGTTGCCGCTTCTGGTAGTAGCTTATTAATGTCTATATAAATATATAAAAATTATTTTATTAACATATCACCGTTTATTTTTCAGGATTTACACCAGATGTGAACGTATTTGAAGTCGCCTTTACCAAATCTGGTGATTTTAAACAGGTTTCAAAAGCTTTCGACCTTGCTGGCCATTCATCTGGAATATTTGACTTCACCTTCAGCACCGACAGTAGCCACATGGCTACTGTGTCAAAGGACGGGACTTATCGTTTATACAATACAAAAAGTAATGGCACAATTAACATCATGCCAATAAAATCGATCAAGATTGGACTCTATTAACTTGTGTATTTGCAGTTGAGTTTGAGAAAGGAGAAGATCCCCGTGTACTGCTATCCGGGTCATGGGACACCGCAGCGACAGCTAACATTGCACTCTCTCCTAACACAGAAGTTCTGGCAATAGCTCATGGTTCCTCGTTAAGTTTTTATTCGACGGTTACCGGCTCCCTTGACAGTACCATAGAAGACATTTTTCTGGGTACCATTTTTTAATTCTTCTTTCATACTATGCACTCAACGTTTACTCATTGATACGTTGAAAATTCCAGGTCCTATCACTTGTCTGGCCTTCGACGCGTTAGGGGAGTACATCTTGGTTGCCGGAGACAAAAGCATAAAAGTCTTCCACAATATAACCGGCTACCGAGCGGCCATTGAATCGGCGAAACGCAAGCTTGCGCAAAAGCAGACGTCCGCTACGAAGGAACGCTTGGAGGGACTCATCGTCAGCAACCGGAAGTTCCTCCAAGAGATGAATGAAAAGTGTCCTGAATGATACGATTATGAAGTTTTCTCTTTCCATGGTGAAGAATCGCGAGATTGAGATTATATCTAAAAATTGCATTTCTCCTATGCAAACAAAAAAATCATTTATAACATAATTTTTTAATGTACTTGAATAAAGGGGTTCATATGAATATTCGTCTGTTCAGTGATACAATTTATGCTTCGTGTGGCTTCATTGTTTTCGTGAATGTATAGTGTTAGTCATTTGTTCGTCCTATATTCTTGATTCGAAGAATGGGAGCGAAAGTGGATGCGGTGTCTTCCACGACCTTGCGGATGTAAATATTTATTCCTGATAATAGGTCGTTTACTTTAAACGATAGTTGCGAAACGCGACGAGTCATGGCCACGACGATGAAGGTTTGCTATTAGTTTGAAGATTATTTGTCTTATCAATTTTTGTTAATAAATTGCCTGGATTTTAGTAGCCGGTCTCACCGATCGGATGGGATTTACTGAACGACTTAAGTGCCATACCTGAAGAGAGCAGTATGTATGAATTAGACTCTACTTTGTACTTCAATTTCAGATAATGCTATCAGACTACCACTTTTTCCAGAAACGAAGGATCATTTTATGAGTAACAATTTCTCTTTAGTTGTAGATTTTCTTCTGGACCGCTTGCAGCAGGGTCAAATCTACACATGGGTTGGACCTCTCCTTTTAACGTTGAATCCTAAGAATGAAGTATCAACGTCGAATTTGTACAATTTTTCAGAATTTTATAAGCGTACCAATATGTCTGGGAATATGTATGAGTCGAATCCTCACATATTTTCTGTGGCGATCAAGGCCCATTACAATCTTACTCAGAAGTTTGGGCGAAACTGTCAGGTAAAAATGTTCATAATCAAGTAAATAATATGACTGTAACGATACATTCATTTTTATATTGTGACTTAAGGTGATCATTATCAGCGGAGAGACTGGAACAGGGAAGACATTTAATGCTGTAAAGTGTCTAGAACTCTTTAGCAGAATGAACAAGCATTTAGTATCAGCCTGTGAAGGTGATCACGTGCAGAATATTATGTCAAAGATTATGGACGCTTGTCGTTTGGTATCCGCTTTCACAACTGCATCCACTGAAAGGAACGACGTAAGTTCGAGGCATGGACAACTTATACGACTTCATTATGAAACTGGTGCCATTTCTGGAGCGACCATTAATTCGTTGCTTCTGGAGAGAAGCAGGGTAACCAGAAGTTCAAGTAACTTTCAGATTTTTTATCAGGTTCGACTTCCTATTTTGCAATCTGCATCAACGTGCGCAACGACGTTACAAAAATATGTGTTTCAGATGATGTTTGGGATGTCGAGCGTTGAACTCCAAAGTTTTAATCTGTCCAAGTACAAAAGCTACGTTATACTGAACGCTATAGATTATAATAAGAAAAAGATTTTTCAAGAAGGTTTCGAGGATACTTGGAAGGCAATGGATGTTTTAGGTTTTAAAGAGGATCAGAAGAATCATATTTTTCAAGTTCTTGCTTTGCTAATCCATATGGGGAATATTAAATTCGTAAAGAACGGTGATGCTTGCGTAATTGATCTCGATGATCAAGGTATGTACATGATCATTGCGAATTGGTAAGTACAAGGAACTTTATGATGCTTCGCTTTTAGAGTCCAAAGAAGCTCTAGAGAGTACTTGCAAGTTGAGCTGTTTAACCGAGGGTATGGTGGCAGAGTTGCTCACTACCATTCTCATAAATCCAAAAAGCAGTTGGAGGAAGCACACCACGTATCATCGTTATCTTGTCACTGTTGATGCCTGTCGGGTGAGACTGTGTAGTATAATCAGACACTTGTACGATCTGCTTTTTTATTGGATTTTAAACCATACAAACAATGCATTGTCCGTGAAACACGAGTGCTCGGAATGGCTTGGTACGTTGAAAACTTTACGTCCACATCAATTATGAGTGTTCAGACGTTTTCGATTAGGCTTTCATCGTTAAGGACTTCTCAACACGCATTCATATTCATGTATTGTATTAGGTATACTAGACATATTTGGTTTTGAGTCTGTTAACAAGAATGGTATAGAACAACTTTGCGTAAATTATGCTAATGAACGAATGCAGCAATACTTTATGGAAACGTATTTGGAAAGTAGCCGGAAGTACTTGCAGGAGGAAGGTTTCATTGAAAGCAACGAGCCCTTGCACACTATTAACGTGTACAAAGAACGGCTAACTATTCTTGAGGAAACCCTGTTTCTGACCTTAAACGACGTGTGTACAATGCTTAATTTTATTTTACACCTGTCCTCGGTGTAGTGTCATCAGTTCTTAAATTACAGGTTTCACAGTCTCCTATAGTAATGGACATACCCACGATTACTCAACTAGTTTATACAAAATTGTACAGTAAACAAAACAAATTTTTAAGCATAAAAGAGGGCAATTTCATTGTACGACATTATTCCTATCCTGTTGCATACTCTATAGAAGATTTGTTATCCAAAAACACGGATAAGGTATTACGTTCATCGTGAAATCTACTGCTACAGATCATTAATTATTGTGTGCTTCAGGTTCCAGATGAAATGTCGATAATCTTTCATACAAGTAAGAATAAATTTCTTCGTTCTCTGATCGACATTGAAAAGAAACCCCACCTGCAGATTGCTAGGACACCCACTAAGAAGAAAACAATGTTAACAAAATTAAAGTGTAATATAGATGTACTTCTGAAAGAACTGAGCAAGTGTGACTTACATTATGTAAGGTGTATTAAACCCAGGTACTTTGTATGAGTGTGAAACGAAGAACTAGTATGAATCCCTTTTATTAACCATTACTTTTTTAGTCGGTTGAATGATCATGAATGGGATAAAAATGACCTTCGAAAGCAATTAGCTGACATTGGTGTTTTTGATGCTTTATCTATTGCCAAGTATAAATATCCAATTCGGTTGTCCTATAAAGATTTCTATCAACGTTACTCTAAACATCCAAAAGGTAAATTTACACGCGTTCTTTTCTTATCTATTTCAAATAATTGCAAAAAGGTAATTATTGATAGGCACTGTTCACATGGACAAATGTAAAACGATTCTGGAAGCAGTTGTACCTAAACAAGAATTGCATACAATGGTTCACTATGGAACGCAATTTATCTTTTTAACAGAAGCCCTCTTCTTTAAGTTGGAAGTTCATAGAAAAAATTACCGTAAGAACTATGCAAATAAAATACAGGAATTTTGGATCAAGCATAGTAAGCATTACATATTCTTTCTTTTTATTCCTACTTCTCTACTGAGATAAATATTTTCGTAGAACGCAAAAAAATGTCTATAGTCCCAGTGACTGCAGAACAAAAACAGGATGAAAAAGCTAACCAGAACAATCCGAACACAGAATTGGAAAAGTCAAGTAGTTCTGAAGATGATAACGTATTTATTTCCAGTCCAGAATCAGATAACATAACAAAGGTTGAACGGGAAAGGAATAATTTGCACGCAAAAGAGAAAGTGGTTCAAAATTTAACGGAAAGTAGCTTGTTTAACAGTAATGCGACAAAAGTAAAAAAAGAAAAGATCAAATTGAATGTAAAAGAGAAATTGGTTGATGATTATTCAAAGAAGAAGAATACTCTCTTGAATCGGGGAGCCATTGCTTCTAAAAAAGGACATGATTTTGGAAATGTGCAAAAGAAAAATAGTTTCACGTTTGTGCATACTGTGAAAAGCAAGCTTAAAAAATTTATTAAAAAAATCGTTCCTAGTCAGTTATCAAAATCTGAACATCACACCGTATATAAAAGCCATATTGAGTTTCAAATTGCTGACGGCAATAATAATTTAATGGAACAGTTCTTTGAAGATAAGATGTCCAGTAACTCTTTTACAAACACGAGGCTTATAAAAAACAATGACAAACAAGTACATTGTCTACCCGTCGATACGGTTCGTATTTTTATCCATCGTTTAAATTTTGTATCCACTATTTTCAAAATGTATTAATTTTAGGGGAAGAACACATGTACAATTCAAATGGGCAACTATACGCTGTTCCATGGAAATGGTATTTTGAGCCGACGAAGGCTCAGCGAGGTAAGCGTATCAACTCCAGAAATATATTTCTAAAATACTTGAAAATTAAGTTGTACGTACATAACATATCTGTTATTCAGTAATACTTAATGTACAGGATTTAAATTACCGCGGCATTGGAATCTAATACTAAGTATTTACATTGTAGGTACCGGTCAAGATATACATTCGACCTACGTGCTCGAGTAATCTTTATTCTGTCCATTTCCTATCGCATACAAAGTTACCGCAAGGACTCCAAAACTGTCTTTGAAAGACGGCACACTTGATTTTTACCAAGAGGTTAGTTACTACTTCAGTCTTTTCTTTATCGTTGCTTTAATAAATATCTCTGGATCTTTTTATAGAAATATACAGAATTCATCGTTATAAAAACATGATGTTACACTAATTAAGATCATAAATAACGAAACTGAAACATTATGTACATGAGTTAATATACAAATGTTTTCTCGCTTGAACGAGGAAATATTCAAGATTGATGTACGTCATTCTTTGTAATCAACGAATTCAAAATAGAAAATAAAATAAATTATTTAAATAACACATTCAGATGCACAGCATCTATAATACCTATTTCAGTTGAATTTATAGACAGCCGTAGACCAGACTGTAAGCATCGAACGGCCTTTTCTTTTTGTCTTTAAGTACCAGTAACCTTCGTGCTGCGACAAGGGCGAGAGTTGCCTGAAGCTCGCTTCTCAAAATTTGGTAATTCGCTCGTAGACTAACCCGCCTCAAGTTACTTGGTGGTACTGGGCGTCCACCAGCAAATGCAAACCTAAAATTACAATGAAATAAAATATTTCTACACCCATCTGATAAAAAAATATGCCCTTGCACAACATTTTAAATTCAGTCACGCACCTAATTTCTCGTCTAGGACCTTTCAAAGTAGAGTCAGGGAACACAGACTGCCGATCCCATAACATTCGATTCGCTGGAATAGGTCTAACGTTCACGTACTTTATCTTGCTCTTAATAGTAATTGGAAGAGACGTAGGTTTTCTAAACGCATTCACTGTGCTTTTGTAATTGACAGGTAAGTATGGCAGTAACGCGTCCCCAAAATGTTCCATAAGGACCGCAATGTTTAGGAAATGAGACTGAGACTTGATAAGAGCACAGACAGCGAGCTGAAAGTGAAAGGCGAGTTAATGTTGTAAAACGAATTAAACGTCGACCAGTGAAATTATATTTCATTCGCTTACAGCTATTTTTTGCCATAAGGCAGAACCTGGTGGAGCGTATTTTAAAACATTTTCTATAGAAAGCGACGAATCTGGCCCATGTTGAAAAAATATTAAAGGTTGAATGCTCGCTAATAATTCCATCGCCATTGTCTTTTTCTTCTCTCCATCGACACTTTCTTTTTCTTCTTTCAGCAACACATTCTCCAATATTGGAAAATACCTTTAATGAACATCATTCTTAGTTAAATTAGTATACTCATACTACGTCGTTTTTAATTAGATATAAATATAATTACTTGTCGGCAACGGATGGCCAGCGAAGCATTAATTTAAGAGCACATTCCTTAAATAATGCTTCAAGATTTGGATTTATGAAGCTCTGTCCCAAAAGTAATTCTAACAACAATTCAGTCAACTTGTCTACCTATAATAAACAATGTTAAAAGTATAAAATAGCTCGATTTCCATGCAGAATCAACCATTAGAATTCATGTGATCTTACTGCAGAATATTACCGATGTTAAATGGTATGGGTAAACAGCTTCACTGTTACTTGCTATTGAAATAATAAGTTGGCACGTTCTAGTAGAGACTCGCGTGTATTGCGCATTATTCGATATAACCATGGATCTAGCAATTGACATTAATTTGTCTATCACTCCTTCACCACCCAGATGAGCATTGGTAGCACAATCGTTAATTAACACCTGCAATTAAATATATATATTTATTGAGAACTTATATTAATATTAGTTTATTAGAACTTTTTATTTTAGTTAATATAGAAGTAATATACCTGAAATGTTTTTTGAGACCCATTAAACAAAGTCTTCAATGCACGTTTTGCATAATTGTTCCTTGCTTCTGTTAGTCTTATATCACATATTTCTGATTCTGTACAAAAAAAAAATAACATTGTTGTAGATATATTACCCAATATCAAATTATTTTCAAAAAGATTTTACCTTGGATGAAAGGTACATTGTTTTGTATAATATTAACAGGATCATTTATTTTTTGTACTAGATTAATAATGTGTTCATTAGGAACAAATACTCTGGCCTCTGCATGATATTCTGGCATAGATTCAGGTGCACCCATTATTGGATCCACATCGCATAGATTAGTAATCACAGCATTTACATCATTAGATGTCAAACGTTTCCTCTTGCTGTGCTTCAATCTCGTTACACATTTCTAAAAATATAATTCATGATTTAATTACAGTTATACCTTAAGTAATGTTTGGATAATGTTAAATTTCTATACATGTAGAACTTCTCTGAGCCGATATGAAGCATCCTCTGCCAATCGTTTCATTAAAGAGTCAGGCAGAGGATGCATTCCTAATTCTTCTCCGATCGCAGATATCCAGTCAGTACTAAGAACAGCATATCTTCTTGTATTATTGTCCATTGCATTGTTACTATTTGCGTCTCCGTTGTTGTTAACAAAGGAATTGATATATCCTGAACCAGTTTGATTTGTCAACATTTCTTTCATGATTTCACTTGTTCTCGCTCCAATAAAAAAACTATAACGATATATTTTAACCCAAGCCGCTCCTTAATCGTAAACAAAATTTTTTACTTTCATCTCTTGCAATCTATTTAAAAACTTTAATTCTTCGTAACCGATTATATTGACCGCGTGAAAATAGAAAAATACAACTTCTTCGATTTGCAATGTTTTCGAAAACAATATGGCTGACAAAATAAATTGCATTCACATGTTGTTGCTCCGTAACAGCATCCTGAAAGAGTGAATTCATTCGAATGAAATAAAAATGCCAATATTAATGAAATATTGAAATTCGGCCAAAGTTAACTGTCAAACAAATTACCGGATTTGTTGGTATAAACAGTCCTTGTTATCTCGTGATTCAGTAGAAACCAATGATTTCAGTTTTCCTCAAAAGATGGCGAATGTTATAAATCCGTGACGATATTTAAAATCAACGTACAGCATATAAATTTAGAAAAACTTCTATTTTTTTTTGCTCTACATACGAATGATCGCTCTATTCTACTATTTTCAAATACTTCTGTTGTATTTTCTTCGGGAAAAATTCGTTTCTTTACGGCAAAAGAACATAGCTTATTCACCTGGGTTTACATGCGAGCGATAGAAAGCAAAACTCACGAACGTACAACGTTGCAAACACGTTCATTTTTTCTCGTTTATTTCTCGGAGAACTGTCTCAATATAAATTTAATCTTATGTTCAACTGACAGTACAGTAGAAAATTGCAAGTTCTCTAGACGTATTTATTTCGCCTTTAAATCGAACGTATACGAAACATTTCTAAACGAACGATCCTCCATGCGACTTAATTACTGGAACGGTACATGGCACAATTGTTTCTGATAATCACGGTCCAGCTACCCACTAAACGTTCAACTTTCCGTTAGAAAAAAAAAAGTTAATTATCACCAAGAAACTTTGCGAGAACGTCTCGTCATCTGTTTGTAGCCCTGTAATGGAAATTTCATAAGGTGTCGCCACAGTCGTAGAAAACTTTACTCCGTCCTTGTCTATTGCGCAGAACCGCCGATCCTCCATCTTCGTCGGGCGAAAGCTGACGTCCCGTGAAATTTTAAGGGGCACGTCGACCAATCGGAAGTGCCGTCGAATTTACGCATAGAAATATCACTGACGTGTCCGCAAAAGGGGGACTACTTCAAGAGTTCATGATTATTCCCGTTTTGTATAAGGGAAAAACAACAGTGCTCCGCAAATCGTGTTAATCGACAGTACCGCTAGCGTAATCAAGCTACGACGAAATTATGGCGTCAGTAATCAACGCTTTCGTAAATCCGCTCACTAACAGACTGTAAGTATAAATTCACCTGACCTCCCTGACGCATTCCTACGAATATCTCCTCGAACGGCGATATCGGTGTTAACGGTGCCGTGTTATTTTCAATTCGTGACTCGGATAGCCGGCGCGTTAATGCCGTTTTTCATCTTGAAATTCGGATTTTCGGGATTCGGGACTTTCACGATGATGTAACTCGCGCTACGTCGCGATTACGTTTCCCGTTAAAGAAAAAAAGGGGGGAAAAAAATGGGAAAAATCTGTGGCCATTTTTAGTATTGTTTCGAATAATAATTATCATGATATGCATTTTTCCTTATCTGCGCTGTTGGTCCGTTGCACGACCTTCGGTAGTTCATGTGGATTCCGGAACTTCGTCCAGCTGAATATTTTATACGGCTGGAACTTTTTATTTTGCAGCATAGTCACCGTGACGTGTATCACACGAGCACATGAAATACGATCGACGATTTTCGTGTGCCTGCATCGGTGCACGATCCCCGGAATTCTTCCGCGACTTTCTATTTTCTAACTTATCTGACTCTAATCGGAACTTTCTCGCTGTCTCGTTTATTTTCACAAGATAATGGACTTTTTTTCTTTGTGCTTTATGGCACGCAGGATACCCTGTAGATAACAGGTGACTTTTGTATTTGCAGAGAGGCACCGGTCAGACAACACTTGAAAAATGTGTACGCCTGCCTGTCCTTGTCGGCAGTCACAGCTGCCGCAGGAGCTTACATTCACCTGTTCACAGAAATTCTACAGGCTAATATGTTAACCACCCTCGGCACCTTTGGTTTACTTCTTGCTTTAATTAGTACACCAGACAATGGAAAGAATCAGAAATTGCGGCTCAGCTATCTGCTGGGATTCGCATTTCTGTCTGGGCTTGGTTTGGGTCCTTTAATTAAAATAGTTATCGCTGTTAATCCGAGCATTATAGTGACAGCACTAATAGGTGAGTCTTCAAATATGCAATGAAAGTTTTGCTCAAATATTTTTGTTGTAAATCATATATGTAAAACAATATTATATAAATATTAATAGTATACTTATGATATCACATGTAACTTACTTATTTTGAGATGTTTTAAATATTGGAAAAACATAATTTCAGGAACGACTGTTATATTTGTATCGTTCAGTATCTCCGCTCTTCTGGCTGAACGGGGTCACTGGTTGTATCTTGGTGGGACTCTAATTAGCGTGCTGAACATGATGTTTATGTTTTCATTCGTTAATCTCTTCCTCCGTTGGTCATTCTTCTACCAAATTCATTTATACGTTGGATTATTTCTGATGTGTGGCTTTATCATTTATGATAGCCAGCTCATTGTTGAAAAATTCCATATGGGTAGCAAAGACTTTATTTTGCACTCATTGGATCTTTTGATAGACTTTATTGGACTTTTCCGTCACCTCCTTATTATCCTTACACAAAAGGTATGTAGAAAAGAGAGCAGAGTATACAGCAGTACTGTAATTATAAGATTTACTGATTGTTCGAATTGTCCTGCAGGAATTATCAAAGTATCAACGCAAACAACGTAACAACAAACAGTAAGAAGAAACAAGAAGAAAGAAAAAGTGTAAAATATCATGCCATTCAAGTAAATCCATGAACTAGTCTTCATCTAATCTATCCATATGTAAACATATTTACTACGGTAAAACTGAATTCAAAGTAATGCAGCTTCTTGATTACGTCGAGGAATTTTTAGGCATGCGTTGGCCGTAAAAGCGCAGTTGTATTTGTTTTGGATTACTTAGTTGGTCACTTCTTTTTTCAATTATCTAATAGATTTATATACATGTATACATACATAGACATAAATTTATTGTACTATATTTTTATCTTTCAATAAACAAAATTTCCCAGCGTTTCTGGGCATTCTTAATTAAAGTGACAAATAATATCAGAAATACACAATGAAAGGCAAAGAGAGAGAGGAGCCAACAAGAGAACGTGGAATGGGGGCGAGAGTCTTATTTATTAAAACGTAACTTTACACGTATGATTATATATCGTCATTTACATGCGCATGTATAAAACACAAAGTACGCGTCCACGCATCGATCTTCATGAATATAAAAAATGTACGAAGAAACAAAATCGATGATAATGGAGTCGGTAACACATGACTTTCGTGTTAGGGCGATTAATGTACATTACGTCAAAACTGTGTACAAAATGTGTACAGTATGTTGGATTAGCGATTTGGAACAATCACTCTGTCGATACGTTTAATAAGGACGCTGACGATCCCTGTCTCTATCACCTCGTCTGAAAAAAGAACACAGTGTAACAATTTATATCTCATCTTTCAAACAAACGATAGTTCATTCCCTATTTTTATTGTATTTCCCATTTAAAGAAACCCTCAATAAAGGTTTATTTTACTCCCAAAAAAATACTGCTGTAAATCTTATTTGTAACCTGAATAATTATAAGATACTGACCCGCCACCGCCTCTCATTGGGCCACCACGACCCCCGCGTCCGCCCCTGTCGCCCCCACGGAATCCACCTCTTCCACCCCTATCACCGCCA